CTAATTTCATAATGCACCCTGGGCGAGGCTTAAATAATTAAACCGAGCCTCAAGTGAAAGATGCACTTTATCAAAGGCTCTGGGTTTCTAAAGAACAGAGAGAGTAGACTCACGGTACCTCGGTTCACCTTAACTGCTCTTGTATCTTATGGTAAGAATCTGTCTCGTGCAAAGTCCATGGAGAATTTGAGTCACTACAAAATCCAGCAAAAGCATCTGGCAAACATCACCAACATTAGTATCACAATCAAACTTGATGATGTTGTAAAACGGTCCTTAGTTTGCTACAAAAGTGCGTTCTTAAGTGAGCTTTGATGTGTCAATTCTGACCATCTATTTTTCAGCATGGATCAAATCTTTGTGGCTGCAGCCAAAACAGCAAGCTCTCTGAAAGCCCTCTTTTCGTCTTTTATCCCAGATTGTGTGCGTCAATATCGATTTAAGAGTCGGTCACTTGGCACAGATGCTCACACTTGAAAGTAGCATTCACTAGAGTTCTGGCACACTCAGTAGACTTATCCTCTGTCATGATTTTTTCGCTTAATTGTGCTCATAAAACAAGGAGCCGCTTTCCTGCATGGTTGATCACCTGTCGTATATCAGGAGGCACAGCGTCTTCTGTCACCTAACAAACCGTGCACTTTGATCATGTGAAACACTTTTCATTCGTTGCCAAACGTCCTCTTTTTAGTCCTTCTTTTTGTAGTTCCATTTCAGATATTAAGACTGAGGAATAGACTCTAAACATACAGTATCTAACATGGAACAAGGCTCAGGAACAATTTGTTTTCTTCGAGCATTTCTACTCTACCCTGGAACTGGTTAATAACAATTCAGTTGGCTTCACATCCCTTGTATTTTTATCTTAGTTCATCCCAGCCTACACACCCTGACTGATTGTCTATGCAGAAGAGGTTAACAGTGAACTCTGACCCCCATCAACTCGGCTGCTGTGTGAGCCATTGATTGGCATTTGTTTGAGGTCATAATGAAGGAGATGATGAGAGGATTATTGACCATGCTGTAGATATGAAAGTCAGGTTGGAAACGTGGGTATGGATGTTTTACCTGGATAATGGTATTGACCTATGGTAATTGGGAGGTTGGTTGCTCACTTGCTGGGACTATTTAAAAGAAATCATGAAAAATCAGATGGAAATAGCTCTCGCTTTGATCATTTTTCTTTCTTCTCGTTACTGCTTAAAGATGAGGACTGAGAGAAGACTAGAGGAAGAGTACGCTATAATGCTCAGTTATTTTCAGCCTTCTATACAGTATATAGGTCATATTTAGTTAGCCTACTGTTAATCCAATTTTACACTACTTTATTCATGTCTTCCCACATTTTTTTCCGCAGAGGAATTCATCCCAGCAGCAAAGAAAGAGCTGAACTCGACATAACTTAAGTGTATTCAAGGGTTCAAGTGCACACACACACACTTTAGCATCTTTTGGAAGAGGTCAAGCGCATATGAAGTGCTGAAAAGTGACGGCCTCTGCCTGTTTTTTGATGAGAAAGGCCCCGGGGAGTCAACAGTGGAATGATGGATATTCTGTGACTGAAGATGCTATTATCATCTCGCTGCTGAGGCCATCCAGACAATCTGGATCTCTACCTCCTGACACTATCTCTCCTTCTCCCCTCCCCAGAAGTATTGTGATAATGTTCTGCTGTGCTGCCTGCAACAAAAAGCTAATATTGGTTTTGTTTGTTTGTGTGCGTCTGTGTTTTTCCAGTGGCATTTCAGAATTCATAAACACCCTGATGTGGCACATAGCCCCTTAAATCTTAAAGCTCGTTTATTGCTTGGAAAAAAAAATGCGACGTTCTCTCGTCTGGCTAACAAGGGATTATCCATGTCCGTGCCTATTTCTGGGTAATTTATTCCCTTTTTCCCTTCTGTACTTACTTAAAGAAATGTTTTATTTATTTCGGTTTAGAGTAAGACTGAGAGGAATGAAAATTGCCCCATTTTTTATTTCCTTTTGTCTTGTCTTCTTGCATGGTGCCTTATTATCGGTAAATCCCCGCTGGTGTTGAGGCGCGTTTCAGAGTCATTTGGACAGACTCTCAGCTTTGGGATTGTTTATCCATCAGAGAGTTTACGGAGCAGCACAGAATCTGTATGTTTCACAAGTATTGAATACGGGATGCACATTCCCTGTGGAGGAATGTAACACAGCAACCTTCACTTCTACATGTTTCGATGCCGCTCATGTTTACATTCCGCATTCTTTTTTTAAATGCCCTGTTTCCTATGCCCACAGGTAATGAGCGTATTTTAATGCATTGATTATTTCCAGACTTTAACACAGCTTTAGATGTAAATTAACAAAATCATATCTTCTGCACGTGTTTGTAATATTGAATAATATTGGTTATGCAGTGTAATATTGAATAATATTGGTTATGCAGATAACAGATGTCCTCCAATTATACTCTCCAATTACATTTTAACATGATGCATGTTTGTGGCTGAAGCAAACAAAGAATAAAAATACACATTAATCATATAAATATCATGTTTTCTCGCATGACGTTTTAACTTAGTCCTCTAAGGATGTGTGTTTAAGCAGGTTCCTTTGGTGTGACCAAAACACATGTTAAGTTTCTTAGGCAAAGGACAATTATTTTAAACATGGTGAACCAAAATGTAACCCTTGAATGGGCATTCACAAATACATATTTAGGAAAATGTATTGATTGCTATTTTCTACATTACACCCATTATACACTGTTATAACACCCATATTACACATAAATACATCCCTATAAGACGCCTATTTCAACTTTATTTCACCCTTCTTACACAATATTTCTCCATTATAAGACCCATGTTACATCATTATTACACCTGTATTACACCCTTATTATACCCATGTTACACCCATGTTGTATTGTTATTAAACCAATAAAAGACTGTTATTAGACCCATATTACACCCATTTAATACCAATATTATACCCGTATTACTCCGCAATTACTCCGTTTCCCCCAGGATACATAAACATTTAAGGGTTTGTTTGTTTGTAGCCTTTATTTAACCAGGTTAAAAAATCCCATTGAGATCAACGATCTCTTTTTCAAGGGAGACCTGCGGTACATTTAGTTACACATATAAAAACAAACAGAAAACAAAAGGACATCACAACATAATTACAGGGGTATACATTAGCAACCTATTTACATTTACAGGTATCCAATAACATTTCATCCAGCCGTGCTTTAAAACGATGCAAGGGAATCAAAATGCTCAGTTTCAATATTTTTTGCATGGTGTTGCAAGCTAGAGGAGCAGCGCACATAAAAGCTTTAGTACCTAAAACAGTCCTAGCACTTGGCACATGTAATAAAAACACATCCTGGGATCTCAGGCAATAGCTACTTGCCACTCTCCGTGAGATCAAAGAGCATATATAAGTCGGTAGTTTACCCAGCATGGCTTTATATATGAATATGTACCAATGACTGAGCCTCCGACCAGTAAGTGAAGGCAGACCTGCCTTGGCATACAGGGTACAGTGATGAGTAAGTACTTTACAGTTAGTAACAAATCTCAGAGCACTGTGATAGGCGGCATCTAACCTTTCCAGGCAATGGGCAGGTGCATTCACCCATTTAATACCAATATTATACCCGTATTACACCGCAATTACTCCGTTTCCCCCAGGATACATAAACATTTAAGGGTTAAAACCCATGACTGCTTACAGTGTGTAATGGTCCAACAAATGTACATTTTAATCTCTTGTCACCTGTTAATGGGAGACTGACAGGTGACTGCTTACATTCAACTGCCATTTTTTTTTTTTTGTAAATGAGTGTGGAGGAAAAAACCATCATCACCTTCATATGTCAAATGTTATGATTTATGAGGTGACACACACATACTGTACACTCATTAGTAGATCACACAAACACACACTAAAGCTACACAACATGTGCAATCACACATGAGGCTACGTTGGGGATTAATTAGAACTCAATCTTTAACATTGATTAAAAGTCTCAGCTGTGCTCAGATCAGTCATTTGGTCAGTCAACCTGCACTCATAACACACACAATATAAATGTAAGATTAAAGGCTGTTTGAGGACAAATGCAAAAGGGGTAGATACATGTAGGACTTTAGTGTGTATCTGTGTGTGTATCCTTTCCTAATTTTCTCCTCTCCATTTATGCCCTGTGGGAACCTATTACTGGTGTGGTGAGGGCCAGTGCGTTAACAAGTGTGTGATGATGGAGGTGGTGGAGGGTGAGCATTTAGCGCTGCTTTACTAATGGCTCAGGCTGCATGCTGTAGGTGATAATGGATGTTTCAGCGATTGATGCTGTTTGACTGTGGGTGTGCACATAAGTGGATTTGTGTCATTTCCTTTTTTGGATGTAGAGGTTTTTTCGGTTTAATCTTCTATAAATGCTTTGTACACTTTGCCAACACACCTTACACTCTTTTAAAGGTCGCCTATTATAGTGATATCCATCAATATATTATAGGTCTCAGATATATACAAAACATGTCTCTGAAGTGTTTGGCTCGAAATACCAATCAGATCATTGCAGCATCCCATAATCCCCTCTGTTTCAGCCCTGTTTCAAAAGTGCTGATTCTCTGTCTGTTACTTTAGATGAAAATAAGGAGCCCCTCCCCACGCCCCTCTGAGAGATATTTGGTTAAAAAGAACACAATGGTGCTCTAGGAGGAGATTCAGGTGATAACGGGGGGGGGGGGGTTACCTTGGTTGGTTATTGGCTAATGGTTACACAAGCCAATAAATCGTTATGACATCATAAAGTGGCCAAAATCTGATCAGCTCATTTTCAGACAGGTTTTTATATAAATGGATCAGGACAAACAGTGAGAGAATCTTTTTTCCTGAAACTTTCAGAATCTCTTTACACAGAGGGGACACATGTTGATGTAGAAGAGACATGAAAAAGTAGATTTTGCATAATAGGTGACCTTTAATAACTGCCTGTTCTTGTTTTCTCTTCACAGCTCAGAACTGCAGTTACACACTAAACAGTCCCAATGGGACGATAGAGAGCCCCGGCTACCCGTACGGTTATCCCAACTACGCCAACTGTACGTGGGTGATCGTAGCGGCGGAGCACAACCGGATACAGCTGGTGTTTCAAGGCTTCGCTCTGGAGGAGGACTTTGACATCTTGTCTGTATATGACGGGCCGCCCAGCCCAGGGAACCTGCGAACACGGTAAACATGGCTAACTTTTCTTATGTGCATCATATGTGTTATATCAGGCATGTGTTTTACCTTAAATAGGACATACTCTAGATTGACAATAGTTAGTTACCAATGTGACATCTGATTTTTTTTAATATATAGTCAACAGTGTGACATTTCAAATATATATCTAATTTTCCTAAATGACAGATATTGCAGTTAAATTATGCAGATTCTTTAAGTGACAAAGGTTAGATTAGCGATTACTAAAGTAACTTGACCATTGTCAAATAAGGATGGATTCCTATTGGTAATCATGACTCAAAATAAAAAATAAACAATACAAAATGGTCGCTCGACAGGCTAAAATTCAGGGCGTTGGGCATGTTCATAATTTTCACGAAATCCAACATACTGTATGCAACATTAATAATAACACAATAAAACGTAATATTACACCAGAACAACACAGGTTCTATGATAACAATGTTGGATACATTGAATATAAAATGTTCTTAACGTTGTTTTACAATGTCAAGTGGTATGATATCTGTTTAATACAAGTGACTACAAGGGAACATTAAGACCACCTTGTAGAAAAAAAAGATATATTTATAAAGTCTCATGCCATAACGCCTACATACTGTATACCAACGAATGATTCCTGGTCCATCTCAAATAGACATCCATGGAAGTTCAACATAGTGTGCTTTTACCACAGGCAGAGCTGGGAACCATTTGATCTTTCCCATATATAAAGGCAGAGAAACCAAGCCAAGAAACACAAGTCAATATAACCCTGAGGTTTAAGGTCAACACTTGACAAACAGAGTTCCTGGTTTAAGTTTGAGCTATACTTATTACAGTTGAGCCTTCCCACAATTTGGGCTTGTTAGTAATATGTTATACCACTTATGTTTGGCTTCATCAAAACCGATATAAGGTAATAGCTTATCTGAATATTGGAGAACCTACATGTCCGTCTGACCACTCATCCCCTGCACCATAAGATGTTGCTGTAGTGATATCACAGTTTTCATCCCAGATCTCCTCAATTAATGTAGTGAGTAAAATGTGATTCTACCAATAAAACAGATTGCCAAAACCATTCAATTAAGACGCAGGTCGTAAACTGGAAATGTCCTGGCTAAATTCACAAAAACCAAGCAATTGAAACTTACAAATAATTATATTTAAAAGTTAAACAATAAGGCTCCTCTACCTCAATAAATGCAAGAGATGCAGCATTTTCACAACAATGTTTAATTGACATTTGTCATCTTCCTCAGACGTCATTCATTGGGTGACAGCCCAACGATGATTTGGACTTTATTACCCCACAAACACAAGCCACAGCTTTGCTATCATTGCAGTTTAGTTGTGTTTATATCCTACATTTGATTTTTAAGCATATAATGCTTCACCGAACACAGGAGGGGGCTTGGCTGTCTACAAATATAGACGGCTAATTTAAATTCTCCCCAAATATATTGAGGCTGAACCTGAACTTTCAGCTTGGGGGCCCCCTAGTGGCCGCGGGGGCCCTATGCATCCACATAGTCCGCCTATAGGAAGAAACGGCCCTGTTTGGACGTGAAGGTGTTAATGAAGATAGTGGACTGGAAACTGGAAAAGAGTAGAATAAAGACTTTAATCAGTGATGCCTTCAGAGGCAGTACAAGCAGATCCTTTGATGACTAATCAAAGACGGATTTTGCGAAAACCATGACAGCATCAAAGGTTATTCAAGATGATACTTGGTACATGTTGTGCTCAAGAGTTACCAGCAAAATATAATAAAGCTCACTTGTGTTTGAAGACTGAAACAAATATTATCTGAACAAACAGTCTTATCCTCAACTGTCAATGTAGCAGCCTCGGCGGAAAGCTCCCTTGTACTAACATTGAAAGTAAACATATTTTCTCTCTGGTTTGCAGAATTTCACACTAACAAAGTTTACGCATTTTCAAACATTCAGGATTTTAGAAATACATATTGTGAGGCTGAATTGCCATCTAGAGTGGCAGACTTCTTCTTGTGAAGCTGCAAGTATAAGATAGAGCCACAGAGCTTCTATTCACTGATGCATTTCTGTATTTCAGGATATTATTGCTTGCAGCCATATATCGGTCAGACCTCTTGGCAGCCCTTCACTTGCACACAAACTTGATTAATGACAATTCCTGCCCTCTGATCAGTCGAAGCTACACCAAAGCTGCTTTTTTTCCCTCACCTTCTGGGATGAGCTTGGCCTTAATTTTTTTAAAAGATGTTTCGCAAGCACTCTAGAGACAGATGAGAGGAATATTCTTAAGGGCGTTTGTTATTAACACTGTTTTGAGTCTGTGTCGGGCCTCTCCCCGTCGATACTTCTCTCCCTCACCTCTTCTCTCCCCCCTCCCCTCCCTGCGCCTCTCATTCTGTGCCAGTGTATGCCTCCACTGCATTTCCCTGCACAAAGCGAATGAAAGAGAGAAGAAAATCCATTATGGATTTGTGTTGCTCTCCTCAGCCTTTCTCCTGTTTGGACCTCTGGGCTATGTTGTATATTGATGCTCCGGCGGGACAGGGGGGAATGCGTTCCCCTCTCCCCGCCTAAGCGCTTTGAAAATAAGTATGGGAAAAGGAATGAAGGGAGGTGAAAACGAGAGAAATACTGCCAAAGTGAGCGATGGACAAACAGTAGGGGTGCTCAAGAGCTTGTAGGGAGCACAGGTGACCTTTAGATTATGCTTTGGTTGTTTTTGACGAGAATTCCTTTATTTTCATAGGGGGCATTTATGTTTGCTTTATCTATAAGTGAGCTTGGAAAGGCAGAGGAAAAGCTGAACGCAGCCCTCAACAGTAAACAGCAGTATGTCAGGCGATGCATGCATATTTACTTTCACACCTCCCACCTACACTCAAACAAAAAGATGAACGTGTGAAAACTCTCTCCTCCCTTTCCTCTCATCTCCAGCTTATGTCAGAAGGAATTTTCTTTCCATCTCTCTTGCTCCTCTTCCTAGGATTTCTCTCTCGATCCCCTCATTTCCTCCTCACCTATTAAAAAAAAGCTTTGATCTCTTCTCCTGCATGCCCTGTTTGCTGAATATCATCAGCCTTTTCATGTATACCACGCTATAGGTTGTGCAGCACGAGATATTTCGTTTAATCTCCAGTAGTGATCAAAAGTAATGTTTTACCTCCCTTCACATTCGAATATTCACCTGTGATTTATTTCTTCAAAGCAGCCACTTTGTGGTTTTTTCGATCCATTTATTTATTCCTTGCTGTCAGAGCAAATTGTAGTCAGGAGAATGTTGGCTGACAAAGTCATCTCAGCTATTTATATATATTTATGTATGAGCTTGAGTTCCTTAGTATACATCTGCACCCTGGTGTGTGTTTTTGAGCGTGTGTGCTGCTGCAGTTGCTTTATGAGTCACAGTCGCTCCTTAGGAAAGGCATATGTGAGTCAGTCTATTGCTGCAGCACTTCATTATACTGCCGATCCCGACTGACACCTGGGGGGACACTGACACTTCAGAGAGAGAATCTGACAGCATGTTCAATTGTTTGAATAGAGAAAATGAATGTGGGGATATACTGTATGTCCCAAAATAGCAAGATCTCGCTGCTGCCTGTGTTTAAGTGCTGCTAAACGAGCTGGGCATCTATTTCCTGAGATGGTGTAGTGATCAAGCGGTTAAGTGTTGTGGAAGCTACCAGTTACCTCACAAAGAGAGAGGATGAACTGCGGAGAAACTAACCTCAAGGTGGAATCCTTTTTGCTGACTTAAGTAGTTTGAACATCTATGTAAAATGAGCTCATCATCATAAAATATTTGCAATATCAAACTCGGTGAGGGGACACAGTGTACCCTAGCTCGTGTTCCTCAAGAAATAACTCCATTAATTTCTGTTTGTGTTTACCTTTGTACAATACCAATTATATTAACTTTTTTAAATATGAAATATTCTTTTTATATCCCCCTCTAATTCTTGGTAAGAAAGTGAATAAGCCTGTTTCCAAAAAAGTTCTTATTCCTTTAACAAAGCAGTTGACAATCTTTTATCTTTCCATCTTTTCATTTGAATAGAGTGTTGAATCAACTCGCCTTGACTCGATATGAGCTTAAATTAAGTCCTTTCATAGTTGTGTCCCTTTCATTTTATTGTTAAAGAACTGTAAACTAATACTAGGGCAAACAGAGCCTGATGATGTTCTTTGTTGAGTCACCACAACCTTGTAAACAATGAAGAACCTTGAAATTCACATTAGCAATTACACAATAGCCATTGCATTGCTTAATGTTTGTACACACAGCTTATAAATGTAATATAGCATTTGACACTTAACTCTGTGAAGGAGTATCCTTGAACAAATTAGTTGAATTGAACATTTCGAAATGTTTTTTATTGATTATTGATTATTGGCATGCTTCACCACATGCCAATAATCCAAACTTACAAAACAAAGTTGCATCTTTTTTTTAATTGGTCACCAAAGTATGCTTGAAATTAGTCCTTCAAATCCACATATTGCAATTACACCCATCTGTTTTGAAGATTTTCGCTGTTAGAAAAAGTGAATCCATGTTACAGTAAATTGATTATCTGGTAGCTTACACCAGTAATATGATGGTTACGGCACTTTCTCCTAAACTGCACCCAACCTGCACAAAACTCACACAGACTTCCCATGACTGAAGCATAAGCCAACTTGACCTAAAGCCAGACACTGCACCTCTCACCAGCTCACTCACTGTCACTCAGTACAAGAGCACACACTTCTTACCTGTAAAAAGTGATATCTTTCCACTTTTGTGTCACATTTCACCTTGTAACTGCCAGTCTGGGAACACTGAGTACATTTCAGGAGAGGGAAAAGCTATTGGGGTGTGTGAAGGCACGTCTCCCCACATGCCTTCCTCTCGATGACGGAGTGATGGAACGGGATTCTGGCAGGAAGTGAGAGAGGAAGGGGGAGGTGGGGAAGGGACAGATTTTCAGCCTGTGGGCTCGATAGGACCTAAATAAGGAGCAT